ATGCTATTTGTGTGCTCGGTCTTACCGCACTTAGCAAAATGCCCTCTACGTCCATCCATGTTGTCACAAATAGCAAGATTTCCTCCTTTTTTTTATGGCTGAATAATATCCCATTGCATATGTACCACTGTTTCATTATCCACTCATCTATTGATGAACAGGTAAATCACTAATTCCATTTCACTATGACCTTTTTCCGAGGCTTTATCTTGTTCTTTCACTTGGAACATATTCCTTTGTTTCTTCATTTTCCTTGACCTTGTTGGTTTCTAGGCATTCGATAAAACAGCTCTCCCAGTCCTAAAGCAGCATCCTGGTGTAGGGGATATAACTTACTGTTCAACCCTGCCCTAGCTCTTGGTTGTCTCTCAAACCTTTGGGATTGTCCTAGCAGCCTACTTTGTTGTCAGTGGCTCTCAGGAGTTGAGGGTGTGTCAAGAATGCTCGGTGTCCTGGAGAGGAAGATCCCAGTCAGCACACAGGCTGGTTGGAAGCCAGCCGCTCAGGTGCCGGCTTACAAAGCATGCAAATATACCTCTTTCGGGGGAACGCTGGGCAATGGACGTTTCTGTGCGCTCCCTCTGCACTGGGCCCTGTGGTGACAGTCAGTTAAGAACTGTTCCTTTGCTACCGTCCCGCTGACCTCCAGGGCCGGTTATCAGGGGATGTGTCCTGTGGGTAGTAGCCACAAAAGCTGGGGCGTCAGCCGTGTACATAAGGTCCTTTCCCAGAGACACGGACAACCTGGGGCAGGGTAGAAGGAGAGTTCGAAGATGGTGACTGTCAGTCTCTCAGTCTCTGGAGAGGATTTGTCCTGGGCTCCCCCACATGTGTTTCATTAGAAGCCTGTTGCTTAGGCCACAGCTCTGCAGATAAGCTAAAAGGCCTGTCGTAGAAAGACTGGCATGACTTCAGTCGGCCACCTCTGTGCTACGTCCTGGACTGGGCAGAAGTTGACAGCTGTTTCTCCATTTATTACAGCCCTGTGTGACCTGCAGATGTAAGGCCCGCGGGCCATCAGACAGGTGCACAAACTCCTAGCAATGTGGAGTCCAGCAGAGGGACGGTGGAAGATAGCGCGGGCTCTCCGAGGTCTCTGGAAAGGACCACAGCCAGCCGTGTGTTTCGATAGAAGCCTGTCCCTCAGGCCTCAGCGACGAAGATACGCTAATAGGCCTCCTTTCCAGAAAGACTGGGGGCGCATTTCAGACTGCTGCCTGTGCGCTGTGTCCTGGGGCATGGCCAGTTAACAGCTCCTTCTCTGTTATGGTCCCGGTGCCAGGCAATCAAGGGGTGTTCCCTGGGTGGCAGCTATAAACATCAGAGCCCCGGATTTGTGCACAAGCTCCCTTCTGAAAGATACCAGCAGCTGAGAGCCAGGCAGAGGGACCGGAGGGAGATGGGGCCCTCCAGCCTCCATGAGCTTTGAAGAATATTTCAGTTGGGTCCTAGGTGTGTGTGACATTAGATACCTGCCCTTCAGCCCAAAGCTTTTAACACAAGCAAATAGGTCTCTTTCACGGAAAGACCAGGCGTTTCAGTCAGCTGCCTCTCCTCTGTACCTGGGGGGTTAGCCAAAGTAAATCCACATGGGCACTTTAAGAACTGTTTCTCGATTCGTTATAGCCTCGTAGACATAAGCCCCATTGGCTTTCAAGCTAGATGTTTTGTGGACCTATCTCTCAGGTGCAGGTCTTAAAAGATGGGGTGCCAGATGTGGGGTTCAAACATTTTGCTTTCCAGGAAGAAGCTCAGAGTTGTGAGTTCCTGCCCGACTGTGGGTTAGCACATTTGAGGATTTTATGGTGAGATACTATCTCGGTCTCTCCTACCCATTTTGATGTGCATTTTTGTTTTGTTTTGTTTTTTAAAGCAGGCTCCATGCTCCATGTGGGGCTTGAATTCACAACCCCAAGATCAAGAGTCAGATGGTCCACCAACTGAGCCAGCCAGGTGCCCCTTGATGTGGGTTTTTTATCCACCCAATGTGTAGGAGTCCATCAAGTTAGTTTTCAGATTTCTTTCAGAGGGAACTGTTTTATATGCAGCTGTAGGTTCCGTGTGTATGAGAGGAGGTGAGTTCAGGATCCTCTTATGTTGCCATGTTAAACGAGAGGCTCAGGTTACAAGACCCACTAATTGGTAGCTAGGGAGAGTTTGAGTAATACTTGTTAAGGACCCAGTAAGTATTTTGATGCAGAGAATTTAAACAAAAAAGGAAAGTAAGGAGCAGAAAGCTATTTTGTTTTCCTTTCTTGAGAATTTATTTCTATACAAAACTTTTGGACTTGTAAAATTATTCTACTGACAATATTCCCTACCCACGCTATTGTGTATATGTGACTTAAAAAATGTACTACTGATTGAGAAATCCAAAATGCATATCATGTGTTCTACAAATATAAGATTGAAGATTCAAACAAAGGCATTGTGGTTTAAAAAAGATAACCAATAATAGAAAAAGTTTGAGTTCTTTATGTGTAACGAATGTACTTTTTTTACATAGCCTAAACCAGAGGATTAATATAAAGGCAAAATATATCACAAACCATGAATACCAAGAGCCCTAAAATTATTAGTTTTCTTTAAATTTTATTTATTTGTCAGAGAGAGTGAGAGAACACAAGCAGGGTGAGTGGCAGGCAGAGGGAGAAGGAGAAGCAGGCTCCCCGCCAAGTAGAGAGCCTGATGCGGGACTCGATCCCAGGAGCCTGGGATCATGAGCTGAGCCGAAGGCAGACGCTTTACCGACTGAGCCACCCAGGTGTCCCTAAAATTAGTAGGTTTGATGTTAAAGCTATTTTCAAAGCTACAGGGAAAGAAAATGACAAAAAATCACTAAAAAATCAGCAGTTTCAAAGCACCCAATCTTGGTCTATGCTCTAGGATTTGTTCTAAGTCTTTTACTAAATTGAAAGACATTTCATTAAAATTTAAGTTTGATGTTTAAAAACCTATTTTCCCTAGATACTTGTACACATGTTTTCTATTATAAGCCCCCTCTTTTTTCAGTTTTATAGAAAAAACAAAGATAAAGTTAATGAGGTGCCTTGTAAATCTTAACCCTCAGTAATGTTTAGTTTAATCCCATCAGTTTTACTGCAGCCTAGTAAATTAAGAGAACATAAGAGGGAAATCAAATAGTGTTGTTTTTCCTTCCCCAGTTCAGCAAGTATAAGTAACAACTCTACATAAAAACAAATCAAATTGGGTATGTGAATGAGAACCTACGTAGCTTCTTACAATTACCTAAGTTACACAGACAAATGGAAACTTTCATCATACAAATTCCGACGAATACAACTGTCTAAGCCTCCACAGTGAGCCATTCTAAATTTCATCTTGGCCACCAGTCCGGTGTAGGACACAGGGTAAAGCTGGGTGGGGAAGGCCCCATAATGGTCCGTGATTTGCTACAGAACCTAACTCTCAAATCCCACAGAAACGTTTCTTGCAGTCCTAATAGCCACGGCCACTCTGCACAGAGTCCTCTGACTGCAGGGGCAGTAAGAGCAGCCTGAGGTCGTTTCAGTAAACACATGCAACCAGGATGGTGCGCTCATGCAGGCACAGTTTCGAAAAAAAGACGGTATGCAGGACAAACAGAAAAGCCGCACAAAATAACATCAAGAGTGAGAAGGACCATGAGTTAGTTAGAAAGAATATGCTTTTATTTACCCTTTCTTCTCCCTTTGAAAACATCTATACAGGCAGGTGCAAAGTACCGCAAGGCCGACAACTGCAAGAGACCAGGAAACAAAGGACATAAAACTCTGAGAGCTGCTTGTCAAGATTCAAAATTTAGCAGCAGAAATAAGTAAGTGTTGGTCGCATTTCAGTAGTTAGAAAATGTTATTTTATTTAAGCACATGTCTATTCATCTGGACTCTTTTACTATCTAAAGCCCATTCCCTGGAGTCACTTGAATAGTCCACAGGAAGCCAGAGAAGAATCCTTGCTTAGTTTAGAAAATTACCCAAAGCATCTTTGGGATGCAAACTCATGACCAGTCATCCTGAAAACACATTGTAGTCTTTAGGGTTTGTTAATAAGCGGACATGTACAGTATAAAAGAATATACATTCACCAGCAAAATGTAGTGTATCATATACAAGGTCAGGCTATTCTAGACTGGTGGACTTCATTTCAAGCTATATAAACTATAGAAACTGAGAAGTTCATTTAAAAAATAATGCACTTCTAGGGGTGCCTGGGTGGCTCAGTCGGTTAAGCGTTTGCCTTCGGCTCAGGTCATGATCCCCGGGGTTCCTGAGATCGAGTCCTGCATCGGGCACCCTGCTCAGTGGGGAGCCTGCTTCTCCCTCTGTCTGCTCTGCCTGCCCCTTCCCCTGTTTGTGTGCACACGCTCTCTCTCTGACAAATAAATAAATAAATAAATAAATAAATAAATAAATAAATAAAATCTTAAAAAAAAATAATGCACTTCTTTGCAGTCAGATTTTGATTAAGTGGCATCAACATTCAGGCTACTTACGAATAGTAAGAACAATCACAGCAATGATTCCTGCGTCTGAGAAAAAATGAAAAGAGTCTGAAGACTGAGCATACAAGGGTCCCAGAGGGTAGTTCCATTTAATTCTGATCAGATCATCTATACGCTACTGCAAAGAAGTTGCTCCTCGGTCTAGTTTTAGCGTGAGCGCTAGTGTGTCCTGCTCATTCTGATCATAGAACCCTTCTAATCAGATTCCAGATTTAGGATACATCTTGTGAAACTCTTCACTGGAACCTGACTTTTCATTGTTTTGTGCTGTCGGTACTGCACCAGGTTATTTAGTAAAGCTTACCAGGACTATCAGAATTCCCTAGATTAGAGGAAATTACCTACACATCTCCATACACAGTACCACTTACGTTCATCGTGTTATCTGGACTACTAAAATTTAAACTAGAAATGTCAAATTTTGTGAAACTTTGTTCCTTCCTTAACTACAAATGATTGGAACACAATAGATATGTCCATGTAGAACTCCAAGGCCTCATAATGCAGAGTAATTAGTAGCCAAAATAATACCTAATTCCTCAAAGTCTTCAAATGTTAGTGGGTCGTTGGGCTCAGGATAGCCTAGGGAAAAAAATGGAAATAAGTTAAAAAAGAAAGACAGACCAAAGCTTAAAGATCCATAAATTCACTGGTTTTATTTTTTGCCTTTGTATAAAACTATTTATAACTTCATTTTCCTTAATGTGTGTCCATAAAAGTGGTATCATAAATTATAAGTTTATATTTGATGTCATCAACAATCTTCTTCCTGTCCACTGATATTTCCTGTGACAATATTCTGTGGTAGAGGAAGCAAATTTATCACTACTGTATCCTCAAGATTAGCCTGAATTCAACATGATTCTACACATTGTAGAATTCAGGGTTTGTTACTAAGGAAATTAGTAAAATGACTAAAATCAGAAGTAGAGGAGGACTTCAAAACAATTTAGAAGTTGATCTGGAACAGAAAGAATCTTCAACGTAACAAAAGCCACTTAAGAAAAACGCATGGCCAACATCATATTTAATGGCAAAAGACTAAAGTTTTTCCCTTAAGATCAGGAACAGGACAGGGTGCCTGTGTTTGCCACTTCTATTCAACATAATATTGCAAGTTCATATCAGAACAATTAGTTAAAAAAGAAATAAAAAGCATTTAAATTGGGAAGAAATTAAATGATCTCTGTTCATAGGTGACATGATCTTTTACATAGAAAACTTTAAAGATTACACACACACGCACACACACACACCACAGGCCTGGTAGAACTAATAAATGAATTCAGTAAAGTTGCAGGATACAAAATCGACATGTGAAAATCAATTGCATTTCTACACACTAACAATAAGCAATCTTTTTTAAAAAGGAAATTAAGAAAACAATTCCATTTATAGTTGAATCAAAAAGAGTAAAAGACTTTGGAATAAACATGACAAAGGAGGTAAAAGATTTGTACACTGAAAACTATAAAATATTGCAGAAAGAAATTTAAAAAGACAGAAATAAAGGGAAAGCAATCCCTGCGTTTGTGGATTGGAGGGCCTACTAATGTTAAGATGTAAATATGATACAGTCTACAGATGAAGTGCAACCCCTATCAAAATCCTAATGATGCTCTTTGCAGAAAAAGAAAAATCCATCTGAAAATTCATACAGAATCTCAAGGGACTAGGCAATCATGAAAAGAGAAAGCAAAGTTGAAAGGACTCATACTTCCTGATTTCAAAACTTACTATAAAGCTACAATAACCAAACCAGAATGGTGCTGGCATAAAGACAGACCTACAGACCAATGGAATAGAAGCCACAAAATAAACCTTTGGTTATATAGTTAAGTAATTCTCCACAAGGGTGCTGACAACATTCAACAGGGAAAGAGCAGTCTTTTTCACAAATGGTTTTGAAAACTGGATAACCACATACACAAAAGGATGAATTTTTACCCTTGCCATTCACCAAATACAAAAATTAATTCAAAATGGATCAAAGACCCTAGAGATCTAAAACTATAAAACCCTTAGAAGAAAATAAGACTACATGCTTCATGATGTTGGATCTGGCAATGATTTATTGAATGTGACACCAAAAGCATAAGCAACAAAAGAAAAAACATAACTTAGACTACATCAAACCTAAAAACTTTTGAACATCGAAGAACACTAACAATAGAGTGAAAAAGCAACCAACAGAATGGGAGAAAGTATCTGAAACTCATATAATAAGGGATTAATATCCAAAATATAAAATGAACTCCTAAAACTCAAAAACAAAAACAAAAGAACCACAACCCATCAAAAATGGACAAAGGACTTGAATAGATATTTCTCCAAAAAAGATATACAGGTGGTCAATAAGCACAGGAAAAGTCGTGCAACACATTACTGATTGTTAGGGAAATGCAAATAAAAACCACAATGAGATTCTACCTCATATATTACCTAACATACATTATGATGGTTATTATCAAAAAGCAGAAAATAATATGCGTTGGCAGAAGTGAAGAAATTGGAACTCTTGTGCATTGCTGGTGGGAATGTAAAATGTACATCCACTGTGGAAGACAGTATGGTTGTTCCTCAAAAATGTAAACATCGAATTATCATAAAACCAGCAATTCTACCCCTAGGTATACAGCACCCCAAAACTGCTAACAGGGACTCAAAATGGAAAATTTTCAATTTTCAAGTTTACCACTGAGAACAGGATTCAAACACTTGAAAGCCAATATTCAGAGAAATATTACTAGAGTAGCCAAAATATGGAAACAACCCAAATGTCTATCAACAGATGAATGAATAAACAAAATATAAAAGGCAATGTAATATTATTCAGCCATAAAAAGGAATAAAGTTCTGATACATGCTACAAGGTGGATGAACCTTGAAAACATTATGCTAAGTGAAATGAGGCAGAAATAATTCCATTTCTATGAAGTACCTAGACTAGTCAAATGCATAAAGACAGAAAACAGAATGTTTACCACGGCTGGGGGGGAGGAATTGAGAGTTATTGTTTAATGAGTATAATGTTTCAATTTGAGACTATGAAAAAGTTGATAGTAGTGATGGTTACAAACAATGTGGATACAATAATGCCAAGTGAAGTGTACACTTAAAATGGTTAAAATAGTAATAAAATATAATAAAAGTTTACCTAGAAAAATTAACAGAACAGTCTGAACATTTCTGAAAAGGAAGTAGTCTGCCAGATATTAAAACAGATCATAGTATTAGAGTGGAAAAAAATGATTCAGTACTGTCAGGAGAATGGTCAGAGTTCAAGGAAACAAAAATGACTAGAACACCTATGAATTTAATGACAAAACAACTGGCACTTGAAAACAGTTGGAGAAAGAACAACTTAGTCAACAAATGTTGCACTTTGCCACTGGGTAGGTGTGGGTGAGGTGGAAAGAAACTCGATCTCACTCCATACACCATAATGATTTGCAGATGCATTAATGATTTCAACACAAAGACTGCAATCAGAACTCATGATTAAAATGTTTATAAAGTTGTAGCATGAGGAAGACCTAAAGCTTTTATAAGAAAGACACAACACACATAGCCATTAGGGAAAAGATCATTACATCTATTAATCCATCTACCTATTGATGTAAAATTTCTACACATGTAGAAGACCACTAACAGAAGAGTGAAATAAATAAATACGGTACATATTGCAAAGTCATCATTGAAAAGAACGGCAGTAAATCTAAATATAACCCCAATATAAAACATTAAATGGAAAAAGTGCAAGTTTCAAAAAAATATATACAATATGATGTCAATTTTGTTTAACATAAAAGAAAAAATATCCAGCTATATGTATAACTACACATCTAAGGGTGCTGATGTACAGAAATGAAATAGCCTAAACTATTAACAGTGATTAATTCAGGTAGTAGACTAGAGAAAAAGAAGGATAATTCTTTACTCATAGACTTTCACAATGTTTGAAAATTTACAAAAATATATTCATATACCACTCATGCAACAAAAAGTTATAAAAAGCAATCTAGGGGCACCTGGATGGCTCAGTTAAGTGTCTGCCTTTGGCTGAGGTCATGATCCCGGGGTCCTGGGATAGAGTCAGGCTCCCTGCTAAGCTCCCTGCTTCTCCCTCTCCCTCTGCCCCACCCCCTCCTCGTGCACTCTCTCCCCCCCTCAAATAAATAGATAAAATCTTAAAAAAAAGCAATCTATAATTAATAGCATACAATAAAAAACCTTAAAAGAAAACAGACTAATGAAAATAAGGCCAAAAAACCCCTGAAAAAATGTTCACTTCATATTAAAAGGGCTTTAACTTATAATGAGCTCTCACAAATCAACAAGAAAAATATTTTAGAAAACTAATTTTAAAAAATGAACAAAGGGTATGGATAAATCAATGTAGACCAAAAAAAAGTTCAGCTTCATTGATAATTAAAGAAATGCAAATTAGAATAAGACATAACTTTGTACTCATCACCTTATAAAGTTGTTAACAATATAAGCAAGAGAAAGAATTACTGTGCCTGGATACTTTAAAACTGGAGGTTTGGTTGGATGAGTAGGCTTGAAACCTGGAAAAAATAAATTTGATTCAATTCACCAGCCTTATCAATATAAACTTATGGATTTAATGTTGATTTTTTATTTTTTAAAAAGATTCATTATTTCTTAAAATGAAAAATACACATGCTTTCCAAACTTTGCAATTCTACTTCTGGGAATTTAACCTAATATGTATTTGCACAAGTATATAAGCATGTATATATAAGAATGTTCACTACAACTTTGTATTTTATATGGAAATCCTAGAAGTTAACTGATAGTAAATCATAAAAATAATGTGTTCAGAGTAAACATACATATCTTAAAAAAAATATATCATCCAAGTAGTATCACACTACATAAAAAGTTATATCTTTTTCTTTCCTGCCTAGTATTTCTTGGGCCCTTTAAAAAATATTTGCACATTTAGATCTGCCTTAACACCATTATATGTTGCTGATCCTTTTGATATAGTCTTTCTCTAACCGATGATAAAAAATGATTGACAATCCCATGGAGAGTTTTGATTTTTATTTTTAAAAAAAGACCACTGTAGTTTCTTCTCTTCATAAGCTTCTTCTCACAATTCTTTCAAAAACTAAACTCTAAGGCCGCCTGGGTGGCTCAGTCCGTTAAGCGTCTGCCTTTGGCTCAGGACATGATCTCAGGGTCCTGGGATCTTGCCCACATCAGGCTCCTTGCTCAGCGGGGAGCCTGCTTCTTCTCCCTTTCTCTCTGCCCTCGCCCCGCTTGTGATTTCTCTCTCTCTCTCAAATAAGTAAACAAAATCTTAAAACCAAAACTAAACTCTATCAGTGTTTTATAAATCCTTTATGAAATGTTTATGGTTCAAGTCCTTCAAAAGAGCATATCAACACACATAGTACAGCACAGGCATATAGCCACCAGGACCATGTGAGTAAACATGGATGAGTCAAGGAGTATGAATTTCATATGCAAGCTTAATATATCAGTCCACCAAAAAACCGTTTCTTTCCCTCCAAACCTCACAGCACTCAACTAAAGTACACAAGGAGGCT